TCTCATCATATACCAGTATAAACTCAAATGCTTTAAGAAACCAGGACCCCAACAGGCACAAGAGAGGCAAATTGGGTAGGAGGTGTGGGGAGCCACTCAAGCCCAAGCTCCACCTAAGTGGGAGCAGCCACTCCTCTCTTGCTAATTGCTTGGAGAATGAGGAGTTCAAGTGACCAGAATGACCAAGTTTTTAAGAAAAATTTGAGATTTGAACTGTCTTATAAAATCTCAATATTTTAACTATTTGTCGGCTAATTAAGCGTTTTTGCTGGCCTTATGTTTGTGACTTCTACTTTAGTGTCATACATTGGACAAACTGACTTCTCCCTAATTAGGAAATAAGCCACTACTCACTTTTAGGAACAATAGATTGTCATTGAAATACTATGCAAATTACATTAGCATCTTTTTCAGTATTGTTTGCTAATATATAAATCACATGTTAGAAGGAGAAAACTTACATTTGAAATCCTCCATTTTGGACAACTTTGTGAGATAAAAATTATTACTTAAGATTTTCATTGTTTGCCCTTTAAGAAAGGTTAATCATAGTATTTTAAGCATCAGTCTGCTTTTTAAAACTTTCAAGAACTTAGATTTTCTTGTCTCTGAGACACTTTCTAATAAGCCACTTCACAACAGAAAGACAGGTAAATAAAGATTATATATTATAGCAAAGAGGGCTTTCCTAAATATGATAAATAACATAAAATCTTTTAACCTTGTCTTTTGTGCACAAAGGCACCTTTAAGGGTGTCTCCAGTAAGTGCTATATTAACACTGAAGTTTAGTTAATTACAGCCACTATTCTCACGTACCTTAACTGAGTGTGAATACCAAGCAATCTAATAGTGTGCCCCTGAGCATTAATACCTAATGAAATTGGATTCCTTGTTTTCTCTAATGAGCTCATTGCTTTTCTAAATATGGTCATTGCAGGTAAATGATCAATAGCCTTGAAATTGACACCACTACTGGATTATTTTGATAAGACAGAAATACTCTTGGATTATTTTTGCAAGATAGAAATACTCTTATTAGTGTAAATAAAAGTTTTTGCATGTACAAGTCAGACCACTTTCTAAATAATGTCACATATAACAGGAATGACCATAGTCGGTAAGTTTGTTTCAGTGGCTTGACTTAGTAAGAAATTGTGGGCTGAGGTGAGTGGATTGCCTGAGCCCTCGGGTTCGAGACCCGCCTGGGCAGTGAGACCTCATCTGTACAATAAATCAAAAAATCAGCCGGGCGTGGTAGCGCATGCCTGTAATTCTAGCTACTTGGAAGGCTGAGGCGGAAGGATCGCCGGAGCCCAGCAGGTCGAGGCTGTGGTGGCCGGGAGCGGCCACTGCACTCCAGTCTGGGTCACAGAGTGAGACTTTAACTCAAAAAAAAAACAAAAAGAAATTGTGTGTGGTCACTGCCTGATTACAAAGCCATGGCTTTAAATCCATATCATGTAGCTCAAGTTAAAATGAACTGATTCAATGTGTTCCTGTTAACTGAGAAACTGAGGGACAATAGGCTATAAGAAGTGCTGAATTCTGTTATGGTAAAGCAGTTCAGCACTAACTGTCTCTACTTTATCAGTTTCCTAGGGCTGCTGTAATGAGGAATGACCATAAACTGGGTGACCTAACAAAAGAGAAATTTATTCTCTCACAGTTCTGAAGGCTAGACGTTTAAAATCAAGATGTTGGCAAGACTACACTGCCTCTGAAGATTCTAGGGGAGAATCTATTTCTAGCCTTGTCTAGTTTCTGGTGGCTGTAGGCATTCCTTGACCTGTGGCTGCATCACTCTAACCTCCGCCTCCGTAGTCACATGGCCTCCTCTTCATTATGTGTCTCTCCTCTATGTGTCTCTTATGAAAACAGTTGTCATTAGCTGAGGGTACATTCAGATCGTCCAAGATGATCTTCTCATCTCAAGATTCTTACTTAATTACAGCTGGAAAGACCCTTTTTCCAAATAAGGTCACAGTCACAGTTTCTGGGGATAAGGGTATGGATATCCTTTTGAGGGCCACCATCTTTTCCACTTTTGTTGTGGTTACTAAAGCTGAAACACAGTGAACACTCAGATCATTATGATGTTTAATCACTTCACTGCTATCTTTTATTTATTTATTTATTTATTTATTTGAATTGGAGTCTCACTGTCACCCAGACTGGAGTGCAGTGGCTGCTCCCAGCCACCGCAGCCTCGACCTGCTGGGCTCTGGCAATCCTTCCTCCTCAGCCTTCCAAGTAGCTGGAACTACAGGCACACGCTACCACACCCGGCTAATTTTTTTTTCTTCTGATTTTATTGTAGAGATGAGGTCTTCCCTGCCCAGGTGGGTCTTGAACCCGCGGGCTCAGGCAATCCACTCACCTCAGCCTCCCAAAGGCGCGGGATTACAGGTTGAGCCACCTGTCTTATCTTTTATTTATTTAAAGTTAAATTGTGTTTGTAATTTTTAATTCTTATAACCACCCTATTGTTATCCTCTTTATCTCCTTAGATTGAGGCTAAAAAAAGATAAGATCTTGCCTAAGGTTACAACACAGATAGCAGTGTCAATTTATGTGTAATATTTAATGTATTTATAATACATTTAATTTATTTTTATGCATTTATAAAGTTAAATGTTCAGATTCTTTTTTAGAAATCAGTATATTAACTTTTACAAGATGGCTTTTTTTCTTCATTAGATCTGTATTTCCCCAGGTCAGATAACTTTCCGTAAAGCCCAAAATATTGCGTCCAAATTTAACCTTAGGAAAAGCAAGCCAAAATAAGGTTTTGTAGAATAATAACCTTGTGATAAAATTCAGATTAGGGCCTAATTCACCCAAAGTTGTATTCTAATATCTAATTCTGCAGTATTTTATTCTGAAATAGACTGGGAATTTTTTAAAAAATGAATTAAATTTGTTTTTTACTTGTTTTTAGCACACAATGTGTCTTTTTTAATGGAGTACATAGTGGTATTTTGATACATATATTGTATAGATCAGGGTAATTAGCATAGCCATCATCGCAAACATTTATCATTTCTTTGTGTTGGGAACATTCAATATTCTCCCAGCTTTTTGAAACGACATACTATATTATTGTTCACTGTAGTCATCCTTCAGAGCTACAGAACACTAGAACTCATTCCTTTTATCTAGCTGTAATTTTGTCTGTTAAAAATATTTGTGTCCCCCCTTCCTTCTTCCTTTCCCAGTACCTTCTGTTATACTTTTTACTTCTATGACATCAACTTTTTTAGCTTCCACATATGAGTGAGAACATGTGGTATTTAACTTTCTGTTCCTGGCTTATTTCTCTTAACATTATGTCCTCCAGTTCCATTCATGCTGCCTTTGAATGGCAGAATTTCAATATGTTTTATGGCTGAATTGTATCCCATTGTGTGTATATATTACATTTTCTTTATCCATTCATCTGCAGTTGGATACCTAGCTTGATTCCATGTCTTGGTTTTTGTGAATAATGCTGCAGGTGACTCTTTTCCTTTGGATAAATGCCCACTAGTGGGATTGCTGGATAATAAAAAATGGATTTTAAGTACACTGCAATACTTATGAGTACACACACATATACTGCTGTGTTTGAGTCTTATGTTCTTCATTTATAAATTATACTTTCATGGGGTTATCACTTAATTTTCCTATGTCTTCTTTTTTTTGTTTGTGAAATGGATGATCATAATAATATCCTATAAGTTCTTTAAGGAATAAATAAAATAATAGTCTGCTTAAATAGTGTTTGTTTTATAGTATCGATTCAGTACAGAATTATTAATTGTTACCAATTATAAGTATTTACATATAAATAATAACAGAGACACATTCAAAAGTGTGATGGAGTTGCATGTGATAGAGTTTTATTTGACATATAACACAGCCTCAAAGCAGAACATACAGCAGAGTTTCATGTGCATGGATTCCTTGATAATATTTTCTTTTGTACAGTAAAATGCATCTTCCTTTCTTCTCCACACCATTTTAACCCCCTTTCCTTTGCATTCCTCTTCCTACCCTGCTCTGTTATTTATTCTTTCTCGGGGCAAAACTTGAGGTTTAGTTTCCTAGATAATTCTAAGGTAAACTTTACTAAACTATTCCCTAGATTTCCAAGGTAATTTGAATCTGTAATTGAGTTAGAAGAAACAATCATAGTAGTTCTGTTCCATATGCATGAGCTTTGTCAAGAGTACTTGAAACTATTTTCTGTTGGCATGTTTACAATTCTAAGAAATCTACTGTGACTTATAGTTTATGAATAAAGTATGGGAAGGTTCAGGACACTGGTACCTTTTAGATCTAAATGGACATTTAAAGTCATCTGCACATCACTTCCAACTAAAATAGTTTACAGATGTCATGTTTTATGAAATTAATGCTCAGTTTGTTTACACACATATCATAACTTAAGCATTTGCAATATGCTATTATGAGTAAAGAAGAAGACTTGGAGTTTTTGTGTCTTTTCATTTATTGGTTTTCTTTGCTAATTATTTTAAATTTATGAGCTTCACATAAAATAATACTTTTCATTATGGAGCTCAGTGTTCATAATGAAAAAATGTACATTTCCAAATAATCCAGATATCAACAGTTATCACCTATTATTATATCAAAATGTCAAAACAGGGAAGTAAAATGAGTTGTCTACATGTTAACTATGATTCATTGGTGGAAGCAACCATAGATGCTTGAATATATTTAGTCCTGATTTTATTTCTCTTAGCTATGACTTATTTCTGTGCCCCCTCCCCATTCACAATCAGGAAGTGGATTTATTTCTTGGTCCATAAAACCTTTAATTGTTAGTACTTAAGGGAATGTATTCTAAAATGCATTGTTTGTTGTAAATGAAATTCAGATCATGCTTGTAACCACTGTACTTTGCTATCAAACACAACAGCCAAGTTCTCCCTTTAATCAAGGGAAACTAAATATGTCTGCATGAGTTGTTTCACTAGTGTCTTCTCTAATATCTAGGTGAGCACAAAATGCCGTGGCCTCTGGTGGGAGTGTGTCACAAATGCCTTTGATGGGATTCGCACCTGTGATGAGTATGATTCCATCCTTGCGGAACATCCCTGTACGTATGCCTTAGGACTCCCTGCTTGCCAGGAAGAGAATTCCACAGAAAACTGAGCTCAGGTTTCTACAGTGTGTTTGTGTTGTCTATGGTACTCTATTAGGGTTCTCTCCAGTTTGAAATGTTGCCATTAGAAATTGAGTTTATTTCTAAAATGTGAATTGAAACAAATTTTATTATTTTCTATCTTTTCCCATATATTTGTAAAATTTCTTGAGAGTGAAAATATTGTTTTTATCTCTGCTTTCTCCGAAGGATTGTAAACAGTAGGTTTACAGTAAATGCATTGTAAAATGAATTCTTTAGGGGGCTGTGATTTTGTGGATAGAATTGGCAAATTATATGAAAAGCATTTCACAAGATGTCTTTAAGCTATGACTTAGTTCAAATAGAAAGTCTGCAGTTGTTTCAACGGAAGGTTTGTTAATAAAGAGAGATGGGGAGATGGGGCAGAGACAGAAAAAGACAACTAAAGAGAGACATACCGATGATAGAGATCAGTGGATGAGAAAAATCAACACATGTGATATATTAATCAGGGTATATTAAAGCTGGTTTCTTCGTAACCCCACATTTAGTTTTAAAGTACAGTTAGGTGTTAGCAAGATTTATGCTGTCAAAAATAAAGAGATCTCTTAAACTTAAAAATGTCATTGTTGATTCTCTCAATCCTTTTTCATAGCATTCATTTATTTATTTTAGAACAATGAACCGTGCCAAGAAATGCCAGTCCTGTTATTGAAGCAAAGTGGTTTTAGTCTCTTTCAAATCAAATGATGGGTGATGGCACCACATGGAAGCTTCTTTTCTCAAGATAAACGAAAAATAAACCCTTGGAATGTGACTTTTCCCCTGAACAGCTATTTCAGTCCAGAGAAAAAGCACTTAAAAAGAGCAGCACTCTAAAATATCTTCATCTGCTATTTAGGAATTGGGTGCCTGAAATAATTTTTAACATAATTCATAAGGCCTCTGTTTTATTTTTGCTCAGAAGTTCTCTTAATTCTTTCCCTTTTCCCTCCCTGTGGTAACCTAGTTTGACCTACAGAGAAACAATATTTGGTGAATAGGAGTGGACATTCAGCCTATTCCAAATATTCATTAAGGTGGTCAGAAAGGATATGAAAAATGGAAGATTAAATATTTCAAATTTTAAAATACTGTTATATACATTCATGCAAAAAATAAACAAAATCACTCATAAGCCCACTACCTAAAGAAAACCAGTTTATATTTTAATGTGTTCCTTTTTTATTTTTTACCTATACCATCATATCTAAAATTTCTTAACCTATTAATTTCAAATAACATATTAAAGACCCATTACTTTAAAAAAATTCTATCATGTTTAAAAAGAGCAGAAATGAAAATGTATGCTAAGACAATAACATCTATACCCTTAGGTTAGAATGTTACTTATGAAGAATAGGGTTTTATTTTTGGTTTTGTTATCTTTCATACAACCACAATTAGATAAACTTCTCCTTTGCCCTGTATATCTATGGTATGTGGCTCCAGATAAATATTTGTTTGGCATGGCTTCTGATGAGGTAGATTATTTGCGTTCCCAAAAATCAACATACCAATACCATTCTGGCAGCCACATCTCACATAATCACAAAAAGAATTCCTTCCAGGCCAGCATGAACCACCTGCTTTTAGGACTTCCCTCTTGGAACTGGACTGAGAGTAGGGTCCCTGGTCCATCTTACTGTCATGAAACTCATCAGAGAGTCTAGATGTGGGACAGGAGTTGGAGAATCCTGAAAGAAAGGGAAAGAATTAAGAGAACTTCTGAACAAAAATAAAACCGAGGCCTTATGAATTTTTCATTGGAGGCACTGCAAAGTACAGGGACCTTTTGGCCTGGATGCTGAGTAAGAGGCCTGTTTGTACATACTGTACTATTTGGTGATCAAGAAGATATGTTGAAATAGTGATGTAAGCCAATGAGTTACGAGTTCTTCTCTTTCCTCAATTTTGAGAAAAATGAGTCTTGGATATGTAACACATGAATTTTTTGAAATAATGCCAAATTTTGAGATCTTACAAAATCTGTTCTAGAAACAAATATATACCTATATATGTTAATAAGATAATTATACATATATTTATGTTCACCTATTAATAAAGTAGAAGTTGATTTTATGCATCGATTTCCTCTCTTAGATTCATCATATCATTTTTTAAATTTTAAATAAGGAAAATTGGCTGCATTTTCACAAGAAACATATTACCAAATAGGCTTTAAGTTTATTTACCATTGGAGAAGAATTATTTAAAATGTAAGGAAACCCCAGATCACAATGAAAATATAATTACTGTACCAAGAAAATAATAAATTTATTACTCTTATCTACCAGCCATCTAGCATAGTAATAGCTCTGACTTCAGTTAATTAACCCTCCATTTGCAACATAATTTCACTAATTTTAACTTAGCATAACTTAGAGTTTAGAGGGCTTTCACATTGAAGAAGCTTTTACTGCAGAAGATGATTGCTACTATCTCACTTCCATTTTCTGATCTTTTTTTTTCCTGTACCTTCTACCATATATTCTTATTGGCTGTAGCTTTAAACTATACTCATTAGACAATGCAAGCTTGGAGGTTTAATAGGGAATGCTGGCCAAGAAGTGTCATGATTTTAAAAGCTGAAAGAGAAAATGATCTAATTTCCAGAAAGTCTTCTACTTAGTTGCAGAAACTAATTCTCTTCCTTCTTAAAAATCTACTGATGACTCCCACTAGTCTGATTTTGCAAGAGAGACTTCAACTATTGTATCCTGCTTTCCTGTGCCCTTTTCAACCAGTTTTTTTTTTATAAGACTTTAATTATAGCATTCATTTATTCATTCAACACTTGTTGAATAACTTCTGTAAAATATTCTACCTTCAATTTAGCATTTAATACTTTAATTTAATACTTGTGATTAATCAATGCTTAAACAAGTAAAAATATCTATGATCTCATGATATTTTTTGAGATTAAAAGAAAAATATGAACATCATGTCCAAGTTCATGCAAATGTAAATTCTGACTTCTAACAGTGGGCCTGTGTTAATGTCATGTAGTTGTTTGGCTATAATACTTGTGATTAATCAGTGCTTGAACAAGTAAGCATATCTGTAATCTCATGTCATTTTTGAGTGTTTTTTTTTTGAGTTGGAGTCTCACTGTGTCACCCAGACTGGAATGCAGTGGCCGTTCCTGGCCACCGCAGCCTCGACCTGCTGTGCTCCGGAGATCCTTCCACCTCAACCTTCCAAGTAGCTGGAACTACAGACATGTACTATCACGCCCGGCTAATTTATTTATTGTAGAGATGAGGTCTTGCCAAGTTGCCCGAGTGGGTCTCGAACCCATGGGCTCAGACAGTCCACTCACCTCAGCCTCCCAAAACATGGGATTACAGGCTGAGCCACTGAGCCCGGCTCGTTTTTGAGTTTTATTTAAAAAATAGGACACTCATGTCCAAGTTCCTGCAAATGCAAATTCTCGTTTCTATCAGTGGGCCTGTGTTAATGTCATGAAGTTGTTTAGTTTTTGATGAACCTTTGTGAGTTAATGTTTCTTCCTCTGATTCTACTGTAACCCCATGCCCTGGTCTTCCAGTGAAGCTGGTGGTAACTCGAGCATTGATGATTACTGCAGATATTCTAGCTGGGTTTGGATTGATCACCCTGCTCCTTGGTCTTGATTGCGTGAAATTCCTCCCCGATGAGCCGTACATTAAAGTTCGCATCTGCTTTGTTGCTGGAACCACATTACTAATAGCAGGTACTTGCGTGGACTAGCCACAGGGGTAGAAGAACTCTGCTAAGGACTTAAGGTGAAGGAGGAGGGTATGATTCTGAAGCAATTCGTTTTAGGGTCATATGTGACTTGCTTTTCTAGGACTGACTGAATAAAAAGCATGTCTACCAGCTCTACTTTATTTAACTTTGAAATCAAATAATCATTTGTTAATATTTCAGATAAAAATATGTATGCTGAAGTTCTCAAGCTAGTTCTTAGCTATTAAAAAGTTAAATAACTTAAAATTTTTAAAATAATTTCTTTTGTGATTATTTCTAGAGTTAAATCCAAAAGTAAGCCCTGAACTGCCACCTTCTTACCTGTACCACTTCCATCAATTCCTTTTCAGCAATGAATTAAATTGCCAAGTCCTATGTTAGACTTTTCCCATGTACCAACCCATTAGACAATAAATGTAACAATAAATAGATCAAATGATTATCCCCACTTAAGAAGTAGATGAAGAAATGGAGTTCTGAAGACTAATAAATCAAGCATGACTAATAAACAATAAGTCAAGAAGCACTTTCTTTAACTAGTGTTTATTAGTGAAATAGCAAAATTGATAACATTACTCAGGTATGTCTTCAACTTCAAGCTTAGCCTGCCTCTATCAGAGCATAGTATCTGCTGTGGATCTTAATGCAAGTTGGGAAGAAGTATACTGTTGAAGAAATCAAAGTGCAGGCAGAATGTAAACCAAGGAATATCTTCTCTGTTATCAGCAAAAATTTGGCAAAGCAAATATTGAGTAGGAACCTGACCGGGCAGTGTGAGGTAGTAACTTGATATGGAGTCTGGAAGTAAAAATACTTAGATATTATGTACTTTGATATATGTGCCGTGTGTGTGTGTGTGTGTGTGTGTGTGTGTGTGTGTGTGTGTGTGTGTGTGTGTGTGACACTTCATTTCCAGATCTGCAAAATAGCAAGCAACTGGAACAATAATATCTACCCTGAATTGCTATGGTAAAGGTTCAATATAGGCAGAAGGCCAAACCCTTTATGCACTCAAGACTAGGGCCCTCCCTGATTTTTAACACAGCAATGTTGAGTCAAGGTCCTAATAATCCTCAGGTTGTGTTAAGAAGTTATAAAAATTTAGAAATTCTTTTTTTTTAAGACATTCATTTTAATATCCAGACTACTCACAGCATAAAGCTATGTGCTTTGTTCTAGATTACTTTTTGAGATATCACTAGTTATCCCATCCTATATAAAACAATGAAACAAATAAAATTTAAAGAAAATACACGTAGCTAAAGAAAATCCCTGTAGGAATGACTGAGGAAACAACTAAGTCAAGTGACCAGGACTGGACAAAGCTTTAATGCCTCTATTCAAAAGTAGTATGCTTATAAAAATATATCATTTTGCAGCCCAAATCTGTTTTGAAGTTTTAGAAAAGGAATTTCTAACTTAAAACTGCAGGTAACAGTGTTATAGAAAAGGTGTGGCAATTGATGCACTGTTTTCTAAAGGTTATATGATCATTATCTGGTCCTTTTTAAACTTCTTGCATTAAACAATTAAGAGAAGAATACAGCAAAATATTGATTTAATGACATGTCCCAAACTCTCTAGGGAAAATAATGTAAACGTGTTTTGGAGACTACAAATTGTATAAGCACCTTTTTAAGGCAGTGTTTTGTCCTCACCACCTTTCTTTCTTGCACTGGATATGCAATTTATACCTTTGAAGTAAGAGAACCCTAGTAGCACCATTTCAAACCAGGCAATTGCCAGAGAGGCTAATCTGTGGAGATTAAATTTTATTTAAAGGAAGTAACATTTCTTGGTCCATTTTTTCCTGGTGTGTGTTGTGGGGGGTGGTAGATAAGGATTTATTTGAAATTAATGGCAATTTTTACTTTATCTATTTGTTTTTAACCTCAATACACCGAAATGAATGACTTTCAAAACCCAGTTTTCATGCAGGTACTGATTATGTCAGCAACATAGCTTTAATAGTGGGACTAAGGAACACTAGATTACTCTTAATGGCATAAATCTGCAATTAAAAAAATCAGTATAGAATGAACATATGTTGTATGTTATTCATGTTGGACTGTGTTATTTTTCTGTTTTGTTTTTACTATTTGCCTTTATACAATACTAACATAGCATTGAAAAGACAGAAAAATTTAAAGCAAACATAGTGATGACTTCAGGTTTGCACCAATGGATGAGCAATGCATTATTTTATTTTTGTATTTCCTTTTATGTATAAACGGAGATGAAATTATAAACATATACAAGATGGATACAAAAAATAGATGTTCAAAATATAAGCCACCCACGAATTGTTCATAAACTTCTCTAAATGATGCCATCTATTTTGGGTAGTAAGTAAGGCTTTTTTAAAATTTAAATTCAGAAAATGCCCCATATCATTCTTAGCATCCTATCTTCCCTTTCTTTCAGGTGCCCCAGGAATTGTTGGCTCTGTGTGGTATGCTGTTGATGTTTATATGGAGCGTTCTTCTCTGGTTTTGCACAATATATTTCTTGGCATCCAATATAAATTTGGTTGGTCCTGTTGGCTTGGAATGGCTGGGTCTCTCGGTTGCTTTTTGGCTGGCGCTGTCCTCACCTGCTGCTTATACCTCTTTAAAGGTAAGAATAAAATGAAATTCCATACCTCTCTGCTTCCACTATCATTTTTCCCTGTCCCATTGGAAACACATCTCACAAGAACAAAATAATGTTGTTTATTTAAATTCCTATCTATTACCATGAAAAATTTCAATTTTTCAAGGGTAACTAAATTTCAGCACTCAACTCTTATTACCCAATTAGTGGTATATTTGTTGAAAAAGGAAATTCACAGCTACAACCATGTCCGATATTCAAATCTATAACAGTTATTTTGATAAATATATATATGTATCATATATTTGAATAGTGGAGATATATATATATATATTTATATATAAATATGTTCAATCAGCTAAATTTATATTTAGTGTTAAATGGAGATGTGGACCAAGAGCCAGCCAAATAAATATTTGTTGCTAAAGAATTTGTTGTGTTACATTGGGTTTCTGAAAATATCACTTAAGAAACTAAGAGAATATCTCTTCTCATCAGTAAAAAAAATGAAATTACTTGACTGAATTTTAAATCTAAAAATAACTTTCAGAATAAAAATCTTGGATTTTCTTCTAGGGTTCTTGAGTTCCTACATGATCTCTACTTTGAATATTTATATTCTTCCCCCTTAGGGGAAAAAACATATAAAATGACATTATTTTTTTCATTTTCTAAGGTTTACTGATTTCTACTTATTTTTATATCCCTTACAAACAGATGTTGGACCTGAAAGAAACTATCCTTATTCCATGAGGAAGGTCTACTCAGCTGCAGGTGTTTCCATGACTAAGTCATATGTGACCCCTCGAACAGAGACTGCCAAAATGTATGCTGTAGACACAAGGGTGTAAAATGCCACATCTTAATTTGTGCTTATATATCCTTTAACTAATCAATATGTTCAATTTTTTAAAATAGCAGGTAAATACAGGACCAGTTATTAGACTTCATGTTCAATTAAATTAATTACTAATTCACTGCTAGTTTAATCAAAATGTTTGATTCTCTTGTCATTTTTTATTTTTGTTATTCTTATATTTTCCCTCATTTTTTATTTGCCTTCCTTCCTGTATACACACTTTTCCTATATTTTAAGATCAGGCTACCAGGATGTAAAAATGTTTGTTTGTGTGTGATTTTTGTATTGATTTTAGAAATTATGACATGTAGATATTAAAATAAAATGATACTTTAAAAATGGAAAGCACTCTCAAAAGGAGCCAAAAATTGTAATCTGTAAAAGAGTTGACAAACTCTTATCTTTCTCCCTGGCTATTAGTTCACTCTTTCTATTCTCAATGAGTGAATGAATTATTTGATACTTTGAAGAAGATGATTTTTAAAAATTCAAGCTAGTGTTTCAAAGCTTACTGTACTCTGATTCTGTTAAAATAGAAACGAAAATAACAACTTCATAATGAATATACATGCGTACTCCCTGAATCTAAAATTAAACTCTCTTTCTCTTTCTATATATATATACATATATATATAAAATTACATATTATATATATAACAGTTTTGTATACTAGTCACTGTTGAGAGTTAAAGATAAGAAGTTCTGCCTCCATACTCTAAATATCAAAGGCAAATACTAAATTAATACTGGGGACAATGATGCCTTTCTACTTCATGGACAGCATAAGAGATCTGGGTATTATTTCATCACTGTTCTTACTTTGCCTATATATTGTCAACTTATTACAGCAGTGATAGCTCAACCAGGGAGTTCACACATTTATTGATTGAGCATCCAACTACTTTTCTAATATGGCTTCATGGATGCACCATATTAGAATTCACAAATTCAGGTATCCACTCACCACCGTATCATAAGTACCCAGCAAAATACTTGACATATGACAAAATTTAACAAATACATGTTGATTGAAATAAATAAAGAATTTTAGCTCGCTACTGAAAAAATTATTTCCACTATAAAATATAGAGAAGTTTTGGGGAAAAAATAGATTTATACACATACTTAAGTCAGTGGTGATGGTTAATGATATTTCATATTTGTTCGTAATCATGTTGAATTTTTAACATTATAGACATTTTTAAAAGGTTCTAAAGTGTAATCTTAAGTTTTCTGATTCCTAGTAATTCGCATACAAGTGTGAATTACACTATTCACATTATAGTAGTGATAATACCCGTAAGGTATCCTTGCAGTACCTTAAAAGTTTATTAACTAAACTAGAAATTAATTCTTTGGAAAAATGAAAATTAAATTGTGAGTTTCCAATGACTTCAAGATAAATGTTTTGAATTTTAAAAGCAAAACATAATGTGAAAATGAGATGATGAACTCCTAGTGCATGCATTAATGTTGTTGAAAATGTTGCTTACGACTTTCCACGGAATCATTTTAACAGTATTCTCTGAAGCAATTCCAACTTAATTATAGAATTAAGAGTATTTGGTTCACCTTTATCTCATTGCTATGATTACATTAGTGACATTAATAGATATTTGCAGATTATATGTCCTAGTTATATGAATATTAGTCTATGCATTTTAAAACTTATTTTGTAGCTGGTCTCGGTGGCTCAGCCTGTAATCCCGCGCCTTTGGGAGGCTAGGGTGAGTGGATTGCCTGAGCCCGTGGGTTCGAGACCCGCCTGGGAAGCGAGACCTCATCTCTACAATAAATCAAAAAATCAGCCGGGCGTGGTAGCGCATGCCTGTAATTCCAGCTACTTGGAAGGCTGAGGCAGAAGGATCACCCGAGTCCAGCAGGTCGAGGCTACGGTGGCCGAGAGTGGCCACTGCACTCCAGTCTGGTCGACAGAGTGAGACTCCAACTCAAAACAACAACAACAACAACAACAGCAATAACAACTTATTTTGTGATTCTTTCCTTCAGCCTGTAGTTTTTAAAAATTTTATTCTCATTTATTTTACTAAATTAGTATCATATTTTATTTGTTCTAATAAGTCTCTTGAAATCCTTTTTGGGAAAAGTAAGAATAATCAGATAGTTTATTAGATTTTCAGATATAAACTTTTAGAACATTTTATTTGTATGAAAAAATTTTTCAGAGTATCCTGGTGACAAATGATAAGCATTTTTGTTTTGAATTTTTTCTTACTTAAAATATTTTGTATTTCCTGAGAAAAATATAAATTTTAAAAATTCTATTTGAAATATTTACTTCTAATTTATTACAATTTAGTGAAGCATTTCAATTAAAGCATAAAATGTATTTAATATAGCAACTAATGAACAACAAAGCAAAAACTAATTGGTGTAGTAATAATAACTGACATGCTTGTGGCTCAATATGTAAAGAAAGAAAAATCTTATGTAAGCCCAAGTATATACACATAAGATTTCTAGGTTGAAACATTAAAATTACTCACTAAGTTCAGGATACTATGATTTAGTCATACCTATTAATTGCAATAAGATAAAGAAAAATTAGAAAATTGTACACTGCTATTTACCTATCCCTTTATTTATTTACTTAAAAAAAAAAAACAGTATGCATCAAACTCCAATCAGGACGGCCATCACCAATAACTCAAAAAATAACAGATGGAGAGGATATGGAGAAAAGGGAACACTTCTACACTGTTGGTGGGAGTGTAAACTAGTACAACCTCTGTGGAAAACAGTTTGGTGTTTGGTGATTCCTAAAAGATCTAAAAACTGACCTTACTTATGACCCCGCAATTCCCCTACTAGGAATATACCAGGAGGAACTCAAATCACTCTATGAAAAAGATACCTGCATACACATGTTTCTTGCAGCACTTTTCACAATACCAAAATCATGGAACCAACCATGCTGACTATCGAAAGAGGACTGTATTAAAAAAAAATGTGGTACATATACACAATGAAATATTATGCATTCATAAAGAAGGACAAAATTATGAACTGCAGCATCTTGGATGGACTTAGAGTCTATAATACTGAGTGATCTATCACACAAACAAAGAACTAAGTATCACATGTTCTCACCCATAAGTGGACCTTGAACAATTATCGTAATACTGTAAGAAAAGGATTGGCAGTAGTGGGAAACTACTGGGTGGTGGAGATTGGCAGTATTGGGAATCTGCTGGGAGAGGGAAGGGGCACCTCAACAAGGGTACCTGCATAATGAACATTTGTATACCTAACCCTGAATTGTACCCGACATCTTCAAAACAAAAATTAAACAAAATCAACTTGCAAATATTTATTGTGCAACTAGTATGAATGAGTCATGAAGGCTAAACTTTGGATAGATACAGCAATAAATGCTGTAGATATGATATGCATGAAACTTATGATCCCTTCTTAATGAACATTTAGGTTGTTTGCAATATTTTTTCTTTTGTAATTTAGTAGTTTTGGGAGTAAGAGAACAAGTTAGTTTTGTTTTCATGGATGAATTGTATAGTGGTGAAGTCTGGACTTAAAGTGTACCCATCACCCAAATAGTGTACATTGTACCCAATAAGTAATTCATCTCTCACTTCTCTTTTGTCTTCTCTCTTTCTGAGTCTTCAATGTTCATTACACCATTTGGTATACTTTTGTGGATCCTTGACTTAGCGTCCACTTATAAGCGAAAACATGCAATGTTTAATTTTCAGTTCCTGAGTTGCTTCACTTAGAGTAATATCCTCCAATTCCAAGTTGCTGTAAATGACATTATTTCATTTTATAGCTGAGTAACATTTCATGTATTCGACAAAGGACTAACATTCAGACTCTATAAGGAACTTAAATCAGCAGAAATATAATAGATAATTATGTTAACAAGTGGACAAACTATATGAACAGACATCTCTCAAAAGAAGATATACAAATTGCCTTCAAATATATGAAAAAAATTCTCAGCATCATTAATCATCAGGGAAATGCAAATTAAAACCACACCACAATGAGATAATACTACCTTACACCAGTAAGAATGACCATTATTAAAAGTCAAAATACAGATGTTGGCACAGATGCAGTGAATATAGAACGCACATACACCGTTGGTGGCACTGTAAATTAGTACAGCAATTTATTCTCTAAGATCACATTTTTAAAATTGAAATTATCCTTCCATTATTATCAAATGTATATAGGTGTATTATTGAAAGTTAGAAAACACAAAGATAAAAAAGTGTCTTATTTAAATACCAAGGTACCATAGTCTCTCCACCTAGAACATCCCTACAACTAAAACTTTATTTAATATCTACACATTCTTATAGATTTTTTTTATTTATATACATACACATAAAGACATTCAAATGTACAGATATTTCCTTTTGGAGAGACCATTCCATATGTGCTGCTTTATACTTACTTTTTTTAAGTTAACACTCTGCCTTTTGGCAGCAATGCATTTTCATCTTATCTAATACCCAGGCCATAATTAAATTTCCTCAAGCATTTAAAAATATACTGTACAGCTGGTTTGTCCAAACCAGGATCTGCATTTTACTTTGTTATTACGTCCCTTAACTCTCTTATTCAAGCTCAATTTTTTTTTTTTTGGTCTCTCAGACCCCTACTTGTTTAAAACAAAAAAAGACAGCACTGTATCACACCATCTGGATTTATCTGGTGATGTCACTGATTCTTAATGCCTTATATTTCCATTAATTTCTCAATGTCATATATATCCAGTAACTGGAGTTAAAATCTAAATGCTAATGGAACCAAGTTAAGTAGTTTCTAGAATAAGCCATAGATGATGAGACAGCATACCTGGAGACCTAATATCTAGTTGATTTATCCTTAGTTTAAGTGCTAAAAGTGTTTACCGAAAACAAAAAATATATATATTTATTTACTACCAATAGTATTTGAAATATTTTTAGGTGACACATGGAATATTTTCTATTTTATAGTCATCTA